TCCTGGGTGAATTGCATTGCTCAACAATGAGCTCCAGTACAGTGGACAGGAGGAATTTTAAAGGGCCAGAATGGACACTAGGTAAATCTAATACAAGCCTTCTAATGTCCAAATATAAAGTCTGCCAAAACTCTCAGTCAGTTTCCTTAAGATCATACCATTGGCTGCTGGGCATTCTTTGAGTTAGTTTTTATGACATTTCCTGGGTGAATTGCATTGCTCAACAATGAGCTCCAGTACAGTGGACAGGAGGAATTTTAAAGGGCCAGAATGGACACTAGGTAAATCTAATACAAGCCTTCTAATGTCCAAATATAAAGTCTGCCAAAACTCTCAGTCAGTTTCCTTAAGATCATACCATTGGCTGCTGGGCATTCTTTGAGTTAGTTTTTATGACATTCCTACTATCATGGGGTCCACTCACCACAGTGGCATCTTCTGCTGGCCATCCTGGGAATTAGCTTCACTATTTGGTACACCTTCCTTCAGTGGTACCTCTCCTGTTGTCATCTCTGCCTGCAGACCTTTGTCACGCAAGGAACTGAAGCATCCTCTTTGTGACTCGGCCCGACAGTTGAGTCACCATCAGTGTCTCCCCCTTCTGGGGTGGATCAAAGTTCAATATTTAGGCGTCTACTCCAGTGACTAATGGGGGAAATCCCAGCCATCCTACCACTCCGGGTCCCAACCCAGGGACCATGTAGATAGCAATCTCCTGCTGCAACTTTTTAACTCTCCCAGTAATGCTACCTTTCCCTAGGCCCCCTCTACACAGTCCCAACACACAGAGGGGCCGACAGAATTCTGGGCCGCTGGGAAAGGGCGGGCAGCAGCTCTGTGCTCCCAGAAGGGGAAGAGCCTCAGGTAGAAGGAGCGGAGTGTTGGGTCGAAGGGGCAGGACTGGGACTCCCCTAGCCAGCCTTTCAGTGCCGCCTGGAGCACGCCATCTGAGATACCAGTGGTGATATAAAGGGCCTAGGGCTCCAGCCTCTGCTGCAGTATCAGCAGCTGGGAGCCTGGGGCTGTTTTGAATCTCCGGTCCCCAAGGCAGCTGCACTCTTTTCCTCTTCCCCCTCACATCCATCGGCAGACCTGCCAACACCACCTCCACCCTCACCTCAGGGCATTCGGTTCATGGGTTAAGGTGCCAGCAGCCAGCCAAGCACCACTTCTTGCTCTCCCAGTCCCTGCCAACCTGCTCTATCCAAGGGGTAACAGTTTCCTCAGGCTGCTAGGAACACAGATCTCACGTCTTGAGTTCCCAACCTCCATTAATTTATCCTACCTTGCAGCTCCTCTTATATGGGATTGCTGGGCCTTGATTAGTTGCTCCCTGCACCTTTCTGTGATTGGCTGTGCCCCGTACAGGTGCTCTAGGTTGCTCAGAGGACTCACCTTGACTGCTTTACTCAGGGCCAGAACATGGTAGGACCCCAAGGCCTCCACCCACCCCTTCCACTCCTGTGTGGGTTGGACACCCCATCACACTATACATAGCCTAGTAGTTTCCTATGACTTTCAAACTGTTGGCAGCAATCCACTGGAGTTGAGTTGATAACTAATCCCTTCCCAATATTATTTAACTGTTTAAATTGAAAAAAATCCAGCATTCCTTCTGCTGATTCATTTAAATAGGAGCGATGATTAAACTAGAACTCGCATGTGTCCGTGTCCAAGTGCCAGTATCCTGACATGACTATGTCTTATCCAACAGGCCCTAACATTCTTCCCTGTAGCGGGGTAAGGAACATCCCACTGCTTACTCTGAAAGTAATTATTGGTTTGTGGTGTATGTGTGTGTTTTCTGGCAGTGATAAAAGCCAGAATCCTATCAGCTCATGACAAGGGAACCCATGCAGAAGTTGTTGTGAAAGTAAAGAAGATCCTGAAATCAGGCAAAGTGAAAATTACCCGGAGTAACAGAAGTATTTATCCAGAGTCCTGGACCAACAGGGGATGTACTTGTCCTATTCTCAATCCTGGTAAGTATTAAATACTTATGTCCAGGCCTGCTGAAAGAGGGGGGGGAGAGGATGGGGGAAACTGCCCCAGGGACCGGACATTCAAAAGGACCCCGGGCTCCCAGGCAGCTCTCAGAGCTCACCGGAGTGTGGGAGTGGCGGCAGTGTGGTACACTCCATGAGGAGTTGAGGGCTGGCTGCTCCAGATTTGCCCCTTCTGTCTGAAGCCCTGCTCCTTCTGAGAAGGCTACGGTGCCACTCACCTTGCCTAGGGGCCCAGTGAGTCTGTCCACCCCCTTGTTTGCATCATGGCTTCTGTGGAGGAAACAGATTCCTGGGTTGTTAAGGTATTCATGTATCCAGTTCTTATCTTACTTTCACTAGTGTAAATCAGGAATAACTCTAGTGAAGCCAGTGCAATTGCACTTGAATTGTATCCAGTTCTTATCTCACTTTCACTAGTGTAAATCAGGAATAACTCTAGTGAAGCCAGTGCAATTGCACTTGCATTGTACCTAACTGACCATACTGTTGGAATAAGCCATTGAGGAAAAGCTAGTCCAGTTAATGTAAAGCAAATGAATGGATTAGCAAGGGAAAACTGGCACTCTTAGGGTGCATCTACACTGAACCTGTAGCTTGAAATAAGCTACACAATTTGCCTCCCTTTTAAACATTGATCTGTAGCCACCATAGAATTCCTATAAGAGTGCCACAGAATCTAGGACAAAGCTGCCATGGCCTCCATGCCTTGTATGTACATTACGCATAGAGAAAAAGAAATGCAATCTCCGTGTTAACTATCCTGCAACCCTAGAATGTAAATAAATCCCAATCTGACTTTTTAATTAATTACTACATTAGATTTATGCTTGTGAATATACAGGTATGAGAGAGAGAGAGAGAGAGAGAGGCATTATCAAGTGGTTTACACAGACTTTGGTGCAGGGGCTCCTTGAATCCCATCTCACAGTGATTCCCTCTGTGGCCATGAGAAACCTGCTGCTACAGTTTCTTCATGTGTCAAGTGGAGCTAATATTTATCAGAACGTATCTACTTCACCGGAGACTCTCTCTAAGGATCAATGGGTGAAGGCACAATTGCAAACCTTGCTGTGCACTTGCACCAAGGTGGGGCTTGTTCGACCTAGGCACAGCACCAGAACATGCATTCTGAGGAGAGCAGCCACTGCTCATAGGTGCTGGGATGAGGGCTGCAGGGGTTGCTGCAGCCCCCCCGGCTTCAAGTGGTTTCCATCATACACGGGGTTTGCAGTTTAGTTCAGTGGCTCTCTGCACCCCTACAGTAAACATTCTTCTATCACCCTGGCCAATGCTTCCCACTCAGGTAGGTAGGGAGCCACCTCTCTCCCCTGAACACTACACCCATGCCAGCACACAGGAGGAAGTAAGCTGTGCCAGCAAAGGGGTTGGTACATATTACTTCCCTTCAGAAGAGGGAAATAGGAACCAAATAATGACTGAGAGGCACATGTCAGTTCCTAGCCGGTTCCTGGAGTAGCATAGCAAAGCTCAACTTTTCCAGTGCCCCTTGAAATGGAAAAGCACATAGGAGCTGGTTTTTATTTTCCCCTCTGGGTGCCGCACTTCTACCAGCCCCCGCTCTGTCCCTCCCCTGAGACCCGCCCTGGCTCTGCCTCTTCTCACCCCCTCCGCCATCTCCCTGAAAGCCCCCTGCTGACCGCCTGCCCTCCACCTTTCACAAGTGTTTCCTGCCAAACAGCTGATTGGCAGCATTCCAGAACAGCTGATCTGTGGTGCCCACAAACAGCTCTCGCTGGTGGGTGCTCAGCACCCACCTTTTTTCCCCCAGGGGTGCTTGAGCCACTGAACTTCTCATGGAGTCAGCACCTATGCCAGATGAGGGCTAAGCAATATTATCAATAGCTGAATGGATAGTTTTTTTTTCCCATCAGAGGCTCACTACTGCCTTCTTTCCCATCAAGCAATTTAGTAGGCTGGAGACAGAAATATTTGTATTACACCTGGTGAAATCCCATGTAGAGAATTATGGGGAGGTGAGTTAGACTGCTCATGTAAATGCCTCTGTGCTAACTGGAGTTTGGAAATATCATCTCTTCCAGACCCTGCTTTTCTTTTTTCATCTGCATAGGCAGCAAGGGCTCAGTCCCAAGTGGTGATGAACACCCACTGCTCCCATTCACTTCAGTAGATGCTGCAGATGTTGAGTACCTGTATCCCCTGTAAGCTGTGCACTTGTGCAGCCATTCAGGAGAGATTCAAATGCTGCTCAAATGATTAGCAGAGCGCTCAGCTAGGTTTGTGTTTCTTCTGGTGGTGCATATTTGCACATGCCTTGGTGCACATAAGATGTATTCCTCACATGGATGGAAAAGTTTAAAGGGAACATTATTCAGCACCACTGGGGATCAGGCCCTGAATAAGACAGGAAGCTGGTTTTCTTCAGGATGAACTAAATAGTATTTCCAAAGATTATGTTTCACTATTCTGCTTTGCACCATGGAGAGTGAGGACTTATCCACATTCTAAACCAAAACTTGTTAGATAGGGTAACTTTGTTTTTTTCTCTGAATAGATTAAACACACTTCCACACTGAGTAAAAGAATTCCTTGTATTTGGTTTGAAATCTAAGGCTTACCCTGAACTCTAGGACAACTTCTCATCTGAAATCAGCCACATACAAAAGTGCCAATTGTTCTGGTATTGGCAGAGTCCAGTCAAGTCCAGTGTGAATTCTTTCTGTCAGTCCAAATTGAACTGCATCCTCTCAAAAATTATTTGGATCTTGCATCATCTGTACCACCAGGTGAGGCACTAGGTTTGAATTAGCAAGGATGCAATATTTGGTCTCAGAGTGGTACTTCAATGATGTAACAAACTTGGACAAATACATTTTATTTACTGTAGTGCAAATGGTTAAAGTATTCTGACCCAGCCTGGGAATCATTAAACATCTCCCTGCCCAGCAGTGGGAGCTGCCAGTTGGGGTGGGTGAAGTATGTGTTTAGTATAGGGTTAGACTGTGTCGGATCCTTCACAGAAGCTCAAGGAGGAGAGAGCACAAGGAGGCTTGTGTCCTTGTCTCTCTTTAGCTGTTAGGAGTCTAGGGCCTATGAAATTAATTTGTGCAGTTCTGATGCCAGCCAGTAATAGGCAGTGGCATACCTGCACACTAGCCAGCTCTTCACAGTACAATAGGTTTGGAAACTAGAATCTCATCACAAATAAAGCGTTAGATTAACAAGTGGCGTAAATCAGCATAGCTCTATTGACTTCAGGTTTTTGTGCCCACGTATACCCACTGAGTGTCACCATATATACTCACTCACAATTAAATCCTTGCTTCTGTTCTGCTCATGATTTTTTACATACCCATTTTTGTTTCCTTCTATATGTGCATTATATGCATGAGAGGGTCCCAGGGTGAGGAGTGAGTAGCAGCTACCAATGCCCGCCAGTCCAAACCACCTCTGAGGTCAGCTGGGCTTTCTGCTGTGCAGGGTGATCTGGCTTCCTGCCCAGCTATCTCCACAGCATTGTATTGTATGTTCTTCCCTGGCTGATGACAGGAAGTCCATCTTTAATCTCATGGCCTTTAGAGTTTAATCATAAAACTTTACTTATACAGCTACCGAATGGAATTGCTGTATAGTTACCAAAGAAAGGCTGGCCTGCTTTCCACATTAGTAACTCCCAGCCACAGTAAGCTATTGAGCTGCCCTCTGCTTTGCATATAAATTAGCAATTTTTTAAAACAAGAGAGAAAGAAGCCTCAGGATTTTTAGAGGCTGAAGAAATAAACTTTGGGGGGGTTAACTAGAGTCCTCTCCCGCCTGCCAGAGCTGTGAAGGGCTCAGTCTGCAGGGGAATTGGGCACTTTCACTGTGCAAGAGGATTCACCAAAGGATTTTCAGGGGAAGGGGGGGGGGAGCAAGATGCGGTGACACCCATCCACAAGCGCTGGAACTAGGAGTGCTAGGGGAGCAGCTGCACTCTCTGGCTTGAAGTGCTTTCATGATATTCAGAGTTTACAGTTTGCTTCAATGGCTCTCAACACCCCCTCTTGTAAAAATTGTTCCAGCACCACTAGCAACTATAGTGAGGCCTGTCAATAGGGGAAAGGGGACAAAGGGGGCAATTGTTCTGTGCCCTTTAAATTGCCACTGGAGTACCACATCATGCGGCTCTGAGGGCTGGGAGGGTGGGCAGGGAGGCAGTGCCATAGTCCAGGCAGTGCTGAGGGCTGGCTGCCCCCAGCCCTGTCCCTTCCAGCTAAGGCCCTACCATTCCAGAGGCACAGAGCCAGGCCTCCCCCTACGCCTTGCCCAGGGGCCCACAGAAGCTTTCAGCCCTCCTGGCTACAGTCCTTATGGAACAGGGATGCACCAGCAGCCTCTAGTGCAATTGCAGGGCTACTGAGTAGGTTACACAGAGAGGCTACGTCTAGACTGGCATGATTTTCTGCAAATGCTTTTAACGGAAAAGTTTTTCAGTTAAAAGCATTTGTGGAAAAGAACATCTAGATTGGCACGGACGCTTTTGCGCAAAAGCACTTTTTGCGGAAAAGCATCCATGCCAATCTAGATGCGGTTTTGCGCAAGAAAGCCTCGATCGCCATTTTCACCATTGGGTTTTTTTTGCGCAAAACTGTTCTCAGTTGTCTACATTGGCCTTCTTGCGCAAAAGCATTTGCGCAAGAGGGCTTTTTCCAGAACGGGAGAGTCATTGTATTTGCAGAAGAACACTGACAATCTTACATTAGATCATCAGTGTTCTTGTGCAAATTCAAAGCAGCCAGTATAGACACCTGGTAAGTTTTTCCACAAAAGTGGCCACTTTTGAGGAAAAACGTGCCAGTCTAGACGCAGCCAGAATGTATAATCCCTTGGAATCCCCTTTCACCGCTACACATACTTGTGGGTGTCAGGGAATTTGGCCTGATGTTTTTAAACTTTATCATGTAAGAGTGAGGTTGGTCGGCTTGAGTCATAAATCATTAGCAGTATCGGTATCTTGCTAATGAAATGATCTCAGCAGGGTGTCTCATCACTGTGGTTATGCCTCTAATCCTACAGGGATATGGTGGTTACATTTCCTGGAGTTGCCTGAGTTGCTGTTAAAGATCCTTATTGTGTGAGGAGAATGGGCATTGTTGTACTAGCAGAATACAGAGTTGGCAGTTGTCATATCAAACAGCCATTTCAGCTAATCTGTGTGCGCCACACAGATTAATCTAGCCCTTCAGACTGCTCAACAACCAACTGGAACGCTGCCTCAGCTGGGGCACTTCAATAATTGTATTCAGTTTGTTTTTCACCAGAAAATACTGACTGATAATGTGGTGGCTCTGTTGCTGCAGGTTTCAGCTGTGAGAGGGAAGGGAAGACAAGACCCTCCCCACCCCTTGTCTATCATCCAGAAGTTTCATTCCACACATTAAGCCTAAAGAACTAAACTTCGGACATTAACAGGGTGGATCCCCAGTTTATTTTCAATTTAGAAATCACATACACACACATGCACAACAAGCAACCAGATACCACAGACAGGAGCACACAACAGCCATATGCAATAACAAGCACATACACAAAAGAGAAACACAAACAGCAAACAAATAGATACACAATAAGAGGCACATACAGCAGCCATACGGATATGAACACACACAACTGATTTCCAGCAAAAATCTAGCCATCCTTTTCAGTTGGGGAACGTTTCTTTGTTGTATTTTAATGACTAGGGAATTTGCAGCTTCCACTTGTGTTTTGTTCTATTAAAACCAACAAAATTAATATAACTTCAGAGGGGCACAGCTCCCTCTATAACCTCCCACAAACTGCTTAGTTGTTACAAAGGTCTCTGAGTAGTAAGAGAATTTTACGTGTTATACTTACTACAGCAAATACACAACCCACCTCTGTTTAATGCAAAACATTCTGCTGTTCAGTGGAGCTACAGTTTCGCCTTTTCTTGAAGGAGCACAGTGTTATATGAAATAACACCTGCACACACATTTGTATGCACTAGCAGCTGCAGATGACAATCTAACAGGGATGGGCTCAATTCTCATCTTCATAACCATCTCCTGGCAGAAACTGATTCTGCTGTCACTTAGCTCCTTGTTTATGCAGGTGAGTTCCAGTGAAATCGATGGAGTTACACTGGTGTAAACAAAACTAAACCCAATCCCAAAACATGACAAAAACAAGCAACAACAAAAACACATCACAGTGTCAGGGAGATTAGAATCAAACCCAATCACTTGCTAATGTAGTTGTTAGATTTTGTAAGTGTTAAACCCCTTGGGACAAATAGGGTTTGTATGTGAAGGTTCTACTATGTGCACATGCACCTTAGAAAATGTATTGCCTGCATACTGAGGAATTCATGCACAGAAAGTGATTGCACATGTGACTAACATGGAATATTAATTTTTAAAACTGGCTAAAGCTAGCTAAAGGGCAAGATCCCAATTCCCAGAAAATGGAGATAATAAGTCTGTACTCCTTTGTTTTCTTTATTTAAGTAATTTCTTTTTTTAACCAGGAACCGACTACCTGATAGCAGGCCAGGAGGACTCAAGGACCAGCAAGCTCCTTGTCAACATGAACAGTCTGGTGAAACCCTGGAAGGCATATTTGGGGAAACAAGTAGCAGACATTCTTCGAACTGGGTGCAAATGATTTCTTATTCAGAAGTTAAAGCCATGAACTTTATATTTTAATAACACTGCAGTGAAAGGTGTAGCTAGCTCATATATTACCATTCAACATGTTCCTAGCTAAGGGGACAAAAGTGGATTTACCCTCCTTTCCCTTGTTACGTGTTTAATCCAGTAATCCTTGGATGTGACTTTTCTTCCATAAATACATAGTCATAGATGAAATTAACAAACCTATTGCATGTAGGTTATAAGCCACAGTTCTTAGCTTGAAGCCATTTTCACAGCTCCCAGAGAGTCACTCATGGGAGAAGCAGAAGCTATGGGTTATTTTTCCACTCTTCAAGAATGAATCTGGTATCAATGCTTATAAGCCACTTGCATAGCGCATTCATTATTTGGGTGTCATTTTCTTTAAATCACTATTAATGGGCAAAAAAAAATCAGCTTGAAAGGTGGCAAAAATATTATTAAACAGTATGTCAAATGCCACTTGATTTGTTTGAAAAGAGCTCCATTGTATTTACCAAGCAAACTGCAGTTAGATCAATATGAGACATGTTGCTTTCTAGACTGAAAATACCACAGCACTGCATAGAGATTAACACTATCTGGTGAGAGCCTTTATAGATGGGAGGCTGTCAGCGCCTAATGGGAAAGCACAGCTGCAGGGCAGAACTGCTGGCTCAGTATGGAATCCTGACCCCACACACCCTTATCTGTACTAGCAAAGGTCTCCTCATTCTTCTCTGCCATAGCACTGCTCTTTGTACGGTCACACAACAGTTTGAGAATGGCTGCTGCTGCTGAAGAGCCTTGTGCCAATAGAGTAGCATCAAGCTGCAGCTCCAGACCCATAGGAGGAGGTGATGGAAGCTGGCCCAGACTTGAGTTTATCATGCAACAGTAGGTGGAAGTGTGAAGAGGCAGCAGGCTGTACCAATTTGAGGATTAGAGGGGTATTATTGACTGACAGGGCAGCTACCTTGTTATTCTGATCAACAACTTTGAGACCATGTTCATTATTTGTCATTTTTCCACTCTACTGTTATTCTTGCCACCATTGTGTGTTGAAATAATCAAATGAAGTTACTTTCCAGTCAGTGTTCCCTCTAGTTTTTTCCTTCCCTGTGCAGATTGCATTTGGTTATTTGCACTGAGGCATGTGCAGATGTGCACCACCAGTAGAAGCACATGCTACGGTCTTTGGATATTCTTCTAGTCAGCTGAGTGGCATTAGACTCTCTCCTGAGTGGCCACTCACGCATTCAGCTTACAGGGAACACTGCTCCAGTTTGTGGTTGACATTTGTTTAACATGAGTAGGAGGAAT